ACTCGATGTGGTACACCTTGGCGCGGGCGCGATCACGAAGCGGTTCTTGCTGAAGCCGATGCTGCACTTGGCGCATTTGATCCCGTACAACCTGGGCAGGGCAGGGCGGGCCGGGGAGAAGCACAGGGCAGCGGTCACTTAGGCGGACACTGTCCCGTCTGAGACCAGCGACGACCTGTCCCGTCTGAGACCAGCGACGACCAGGGCCCCAAGGCCCTGAGCCCCCGAGATCGGCATCCACAGACCAGCTGGGGTCGGAAGCACCGACGCCATGAGGTCTCGCTCCCTCTCCCTTTCCTCCTTCCGAACCCCTCTCCGGTCTCCGCGCACCTCTCCGCTCGCCCAGGCCATGCCGAGGACAAATGCCTCCTGTGCTCTGAAGCCTGGGCCGCGCGCGGCTGCAGCGATCAGCCACCGAGTGGGTACCCGCTGGCCCACACGTTCTAGAAAGGTCTCAAAACCTGCAACCAGAAGCCCTCCATCCAGGGGGAAAAGAGACCGTCACGCCACGCGCTGTGCACACACCCCCCCCCCCCCCAAATGCACAAGCAAAACAACAAAATGAAACCGAGGTTTGCAGATCCATCCCGCACGAGTCCGCGGCGATTTGACCGGAACTAGAGGTTCTCCGCGGGCAACAATGTTAACAGAAAGTTTCCTCCGCGGTCGTCCTTTCATTATTGTTTTTTAAATCCGCTGCGGCTGCGGCTGCGGCCGCCCTCAACCCCTTTCCAGGGGCCGAAGCATCTGCCTCCAGTTCAGTCTGCGGGAGAGCCAGGCCTCTTCCTCGCTGCCGACCTTTCCCGGGTAGGTCCTTCGGGGCGCACTGGCCGGGCCCCTGGCCCGGTACCGGCGACAACAGAAGCGGCATTGCTACACAGTGACCCGCAGAAAGCAGGAGGGGGCACCTCACAACCCCAAGGGCAGAAGGCACTGGGAAACCTAAAGGACCTCTCTGTTCTGCGTTTACAACTACAGGATCTCAAAGGGAGGGCACACACACACACACACACACACACACACACACACACACGGGGGTTGAGAGAGGAGAGGAAGGGCTAACAGCAATGGGCTCCTTCTACACCGTGTCTCCAGAGCTAGGCCCTTGCAGGTCGGTATGCAATCCTGCAATCGGGCACAACCCTATCTCCGCGGGGTAGAGATACTGCTCCGGGAGGCTCGAAGTGAGCGCTCCCTGGCCAGAATCGCCAGTTCACACACCGATCCGGTAAACAATGGGAAAAGGGCTCATTTGTCAGAGGTTAGAAGGTAGATTCCAAAGTTTGCCTCCCTCCGCCTCCTCTCGGTGAGATCTCCCATTTCATAGGATGAGGGCTTCACCTTGCTGGTGACCAAACAATTTGGAAAACCCCTCCCCCTTCGTGGGTTCCCCGCTTCCCCACTTCCTCCCACTCACCCCCCACCACCTTCAAAGTCTCCATAACTTCTCTTTGCACTGCTCAGTTGGATCTATCAAGATTCTACTCACCACTTCGTGCTTTTAAAATAATGCAAAATCCTGGACACGAAGCGAGCAGGAAAAATTTTAAGTGCATACTTAAATTTTGACTAAACTTTAAATAAGTTCCCAGCTCCAGAAAGAAACTCCAGGAGTTACAAGAAGCTAATTTTTTGTTTGTTAATAGCCACCAGAGAATTTTTAAAAATATGTAATTTTGATATTTTTAACATAATAGCAAAGGTATTATCTCTTCGGTTTGTTATTGAAACAATAAAATTTTCTTTAGACATTCGACTGGCTTCCGAAGACAGGAAATGAAGTTTCTCACACATATATACCCAGGTCAGAAGAAAGTATGAAATTAGCAAAGCATGAAGTTTAGACGCCGAATACACTGAAAGAAAAAAGAAAACTCAGAAAGTCCCTTATGTGGTTTTTAGTCTTGTCCGTATGGGCAATTCGCTCATTTTATCAGTTACCAGATTTTAATGTGAGAAAGGAAGCTGTTCAATTATCTAAATATACCAATTGTTCGTAGACGGATGATGGGCAATTTGATCTGCTCTGCCTAATTCATCAGCTCAGATAAGATAAGAAAGAAAAGACAGTCAGATGTCACCAAAGGGTTAATATTTAAAAAGATTAAATTTCCGGCCTTTTTGCAGAAAATATTTGGGTTTGTTTTTAGATTTCCAAGGTAGAAACTCTTAGCCTAAAAGTAAAAGGCTACTTGCTGTTTCAAAATGCATGTTTAGGTCAAACTTTTATTTTGCCCATTACACTGACATCTCCAAAGAATTTGTAAGTTACTAATAAAACCCTGAACTAGAGCATACAGGAAAGAAAAATACTGCACAATACAATAACAATCAATCTTTTTAAAATTTAGAAACCCCAATTTATCCCTCTATGCATTTTTTGTTTGTTTTGGAAGGGGGAGGGAGAAAAAGAAAAATATTTTGAGCACCAGAAATTCCAAGAGCAATGTCAACAAGCTTCAGTAACACACAACTTGTGAAAACCACTGTCAAATTTTGCAGGGGTTTTTCCCCTAAAAAGTAAGATGAACAGCTTAGTTTAATTTATGCAATACACGTTCTGGGTAACTTTTGCACGCCAGACCCCACTAAGGCAAACTAGGAGAACAGGCGAAGTCACACCATTTTACAGCAAATAATAAATGAGGCGTGGGGAGAGACAGGAAGCAGAGTGTGCGCGGCGTACCTGATGTAGTCTCTCTTACAGTAGGTTTTCCCATCTCTAACAAAGCACGTACAGCTCTCGTCCAAATACTGATTACACTCCGCGCATTTCAAACACGCCGCGTGCCATTCCAAATCCGGAGAAACCCGCAGAATATACTGATCGTGAATTTGATTGCCGCAACCAACACATAGGGAAATCAGACGTTTTTCTGAAATGAAAATAAATACATGATTGACTAACCGTTTACTTCCTACCGAGATAAACACACTTTCAGGATCGCTCTCTCATAGGGCATGCTCTGGGAGGTTTCCTCCTCCCACCCCTCTTCCTTTCTTTTTCTTTAAAGCGCATTGCACTTTGGAATGGTAATTGAAGCGTGCCATCAAAACCCTGACTCGTTTTTTTTCAAAAAAGGAGGTGGAATATATGTAAAATGCAGATTTGAATAGTCCACATTTGTAAGCCTAGCACACCATCAAACCCGTTCATTTTGCATTTCTTTTTCTCCCCTCCTCCCTCTTCGCCATAGCCACCCTGAACGATTATGAATAAGTCAAGTCAAAGAAAAGGTTTTGACTAGAAGCGTTCAGGGAACGCAGGGATGCCTGTGTTTTCCACGAAGCGCGCTCTCGAACGGTCCCGGGGACTGGCTCTCGTTAGCAAGAGCACACATCAATACAGTTGTCACTCGTTCTCCTTTGCAAGTCTAATGCTGCTTCACCTCGCCGGGTATTGTGCGTGCAGGCAGACCTCTGCGACAGAATCGCCGTCTCGGAGAGCTCAGGGCTCCCCGGGAGGAAGCCGCCCCGTAGCACCAGAAGGCTAGGGCTTCGGGGGGCGCACGGGCGAACTCCAACCCCAGGTCTGATCCGTTTCCCGAAGATCAGAACCGACAGCCGAGCATGCAGGCGTGACGGCCTGGAGCCAAAGCCACCGTCTCCGTGTGTCTCTCCAGGCAAGAACTCCAACTCCGAAGAGCCCCTGGCATGAGTGCCAGAGAGCCCCCCGCACAGATCAGCACACCGAGCCCCACAAGGTAAAAGAGCCTCTTACTTTTTGGTGGATCGCCCATGTCTCCCATATCGGTAAGAGGGAGTAGTGTCCACAGTGAAATGGTGGGTGCACAGTGGGTGCACAGCCCACAGAGAGGATGCTGGAGCTGCGGGCCAGGGGGAGACCGCGGCCCGGGGGCTGCCCGGCCGCCGCGCCCTCGCCGATCGGGGAGTCCAATCGGAGGCGGCGGAGCCGGCGGAGCAGGCGGAGCGGCGGCGCTGCGGCGGCGGCGAACTCGGCGCGGCTCGGCACTCTCTTCCTTATCTCTTACTCAACTTCTCTGCTCCAACTCAGCTCCATCGACATTGGTCGGTCGCAGCGGGCCTGAACGTCGAGCGAGCGGCGGGCCCACTGCCTGCGGGGAGGGCGAGGGGCTGTACGAAAATCAGTTTTCAGGTTGCGGGGCCGGAAAGATTATAACCCGGAGCTCCGCCGGAAGGGCAGGTGGGGTTTTGCGAGTCAGATGTCGGAAAATACGAGCGTGGGGGGG